CCTCCGGCGGTCCCCGGTACAGCCCTGGGGACATCAGCATCAGGGGCCAGGCCAGAGCAGGGCCCCCCCCCCCGCAGGGCTCCTCAGCTGCGACGAACCCCTGCAAGCAGCCCTTGACACAGGCCAGACGTGCGGGGGACACGGGGAGACCCACAAACTGCCCCACCTGCCCCCACGGCAGCCCTGGGCAAGCAGCAAGAGCACAGGGGCCGGGTCAGCCAGGCTGTGCTCCTCCAGCACACACACACACGCACACATACATATTAAAAAACACAGGTTATATTACATTTAAAAACAGCCCGTGCCCCCGTGGCGCAGGCAGGTCTGCGTGCCACAGGACGGTGCGCGAGGTAGGAACAGGGCACTGCCAAAACACCAGCGGGGCGAGAGCGCCCGGGAGCTCGGAGCTCCCCACGCCGCACGCTGCCCGAGGGGGCTGGCAGGGGTTGAGCCCCCCCCCAAAAAAAAACACCCCACGGCGGGCACAGAGCTGGGGGTGCTGGACAAAACCCAGGAACGTGACGGCCCCGAGGCTCTTCCGCTCGCTCAGCATTTGCTCAGCAGCCGCGAGGAGCTGTTTCACCACAGAAAAATCTGGACCGAAATCACCCCACAAGCGTCAGTGCCAGAGGTGGGTTTGGCCCAGCCCGATTACTTTTAAAAGCACCTGGGCTATAAATAGACACGCAAACAGTTCCAGGGAGAGCAGCTCCGGCCGGGAAGCAGCGCTGCAACCCGGGGAACAGGGCAAGCACGACAGATAGGCACCTGCTTTGCCCACGCCTCACGCCCGGAGCGTGGCGATATCTGGCAGGGCCACGCCGCCTGCCGCCCCGCAGGCGTGAGTCCCGGCGCCCCGAGGGAAGCACAGCACTGCTCCACGAGCCGGCTGGGCGCAGCCGTGAGCCCCCGGCTCTGCACCATCAAGCATCTGCTCTTGGAGGAGGGGAAGGGACGAGCCCCTCAAGGAGGGTGCGAGGAGGGGGCTGGTCCGCACTGCACCCCGCTCGGGCAAGGGGGGGAGGGCGGGCAGCGGGCCAGACCTGAGGGGACAGCGGGGCTGGGAGAGGCCAGGAGCAGATGAAGGAAGCCTTCGGCGCACCAAGCGAGGGGCAGGACGACCCTCGGGGTATCAGCTCATCTGCCCCAGGTAGTCTGAGAGCAGGAGCTCGGGGGGCAGGAAGACACGGTGTTTGTTGCTCACTTTCATTTGACGTTTCCCTTCGATGTCCGAACCTGGGGGCAAGAGGGAGCAGTTAGCACGCCACCGTCCCCGCCGTGGGTCCCAAACACGGTCTTCCCAGCCCAGCTACCTCCCCCCTCCTCCCTGCGGCTCGTAGCGGGCACAGGTTCCCCCGTGCTCTGCAAAGGCGGCAACTGTCTCCCCCGTCCCCAGCCCCCTCCACATGTCCCTGCCGGCACCACGGGGCTCCACTTCACATCGTTAGCGCTCTCATGCTGTTTTCCACAAGCAGCTGTTAATGAAACCCTCGGCAGCGAAGACTCCTCCGCGGGGACAGAGCCCGGTGCCTCTCCTCCTCTGCCTTGGCAACAAGCCCTTCCAGGGAAACCCACGGGCAGGGTGCGGGCATGGCCGCTCTCCGCGGGAGGAGGCAGCGGCCGCAGGAGAGGGAGCCCCACAAGCAGCCTCTTGCTTTGGGCCATCCAAACCCAGACGCAAGAGAAGAAATGGGAGCACTGCTGTCAACGAGACACCCCCAGGCAGAGCTGGGCCTGGCCATCACCCTGGCTGCTGGGCTTCAGCCCCCGGCAGCGGCCGATGTTGCACACCCCGCCACTAGTGCTGGCGAAGCGGCGTGACCACAGCCGAGGCTCCCGAGGGAGCTTCGGGCAGCGGAGGCAGGAGAGCAGGGTTATCTGTGAGCCACAGCGCAAGGTGGGGCCGGGAGGAGGAAGGGAGGAAGAGGCTGAGCTGGAGAGGAGAGATAGCGATGAAAAGAAGGGAAAAACAAAACCAAAACCAAACAAACATGAGGCTCTTACTGGCAGAGACAAGGTCCATGTACTGGCAGAGTGCATGGAGCAGGAGTCGCTCGAAGCTGGGGGAGATGGGGGACAGGGTTAGAGCCGACACACCTCAGACCAGCATCTCCCGAGCGTTGCCCTGCCCTGGTTCCTCCCACGGATCGGAGACAGGGAGCACAGAGTGCCACAAGCCCCTGTGCAGGCATCCCCCAGCGCATCCCTCCCTTGGGGGCTCCTCAGGGGCCGGGCCAGGCCAGGCGAGTGTCCCCAGCCGGAGACCCGAGCTTGGCCGAGGGGGTCTCCTTCGCTCCCAGAGCCCCTCTGCAGCCCGGGGCAGCTCTGGGGCGCAGGCTGGGGCACCGGGAACCCAGGCGGAGCAGCCTGAGTGCATGGCAGCTGGCTCAGGCTGTGGTGAGCTGGGAACCCCTGCACGCGGGGTGCGCGTGGCTCAGGACCCCGGCCCCTGCTCCGTGGGGAGCGGTGACACCTGCAGAGCCCGACAAGGGGGGGGGGGGGGAAATACCTGTTGTCCATCAGTGCTGTGTAGACAGAGTGAGGGGTGACGGAGAAGAAGGCCAGCAGCTCCTCCTCCAGACCCTCCAGCGTCCCCTGCAAGGAAAAGCAGGGGCTGTCAGCAAGGAGAGGGCAGCAGTGGCCGGACCCCGCTCAGACCCTGCGGCGACAGCCAAGAGCAAGGAGCTGGGCGAGGGGAGCCGGCACTCGCTGGGTGTACCCCAAGGTGGGCAAAGCCACCTGCCCCCGTACAGCTCTGCGCCCCTCGCAGCACCCGCGTATTGCCTGTGAGGAGCTGCTGCCCCAGCCAGGGCCACGGGCACTTTGTGACCATAGCTGCCTTCCCCTGCCACGTCCGCACAGCCCCAGCACGACGGGGCCTCCGACTCCCGAGGAGTTACCGCCAGCAGCTCCCGGGCAAGTCATCTGGATGCGAGATGGCAGGAAGGCACAAGGAAAGGAGACAACTCCCCTCTCCAGCCCCTGCGGCGGGGAAGAATCTGTCCCCTGCCAACTCCATACTTTGTGTGCCAAGGGCTGGCATCGTCCCTCATGTTCAGAGCAGCGGCAGCCAGGAAAGCCTCGTGCCTCGCGCCTCCTTTTCTCCCAACAGGCAAAGATCAGCTCGATGCAGCTCTCCGGAGCACCGTGACCCCAGAGACAAGCAGCAGAAGCGAGTCTCATTTGAGAACAAATTGAGCAGAAGCCAGCAGGCAGGAGGAGCCGAGGCTGCTTTTAGAGACTCTAATTAGAGCAAGGAAAACAAACAGAGCAGGAAAACAGCACCATTGAGAAGAGGGAGCAGGGAGCCAGGCACCCCCGGGGCCCAGGAGAGCAAGTGTCTGGGCAGGCAGCACGGCGCAGGGGCTGCGCGTGGCAGCTCGGCTCCCCGAGCCAGGCGGCACGAGGCCACACTTGCCTCTCCATTCAAGGCTTAATTGTCTGCTCAGCGGTTTATGCAGTTTGACCCCTTTCAAAAGGCATTTGAGTTTTTCCAAATAGCCTTGTGTGGACCGTTCCGAAGACCGCAAAGGCTCCACTGCTGCCCCTGTAGGCAAACACGCTGGATTTCCCCTGTCACCTGCTGCTCGTCGAGCAGAGACTGGGAAACAACCACGTAAAAGTGTCCTGTAACTACCAGAAAAATCTGAACTGAGCCAGGAAAACCCATCTGCGCAGGGAGCTGAATGTCTGTTTGCAATCAGCCACGACTGCAGAGGTCATACGAGAATTGGAGCACATTCCCCAGGAGCTCATCTGAAATTCAGCACTTGTCTGGCTCAGCGACCGTGCGCGAGGTCAGGGGACAGCCCTCGGGACACCGCTCCGGGCGAAGTTGCACATGGGGCGCTGGCAGCCGGAGCCCTGCCTGCCCCAGCCCCGCCGCCCCCCAATAGCCCCCGGCTCACCATGGGGATCCGGCCCCGCTTCAGGGTGGAGCGCAGGCGGCGGCTGATGCGCTGGAAGCACTCCTTGGGCGTGTGCAGGGGGCTCCCTCGCGCCGGCGGACAGAAG